GGGGGGGGGGGGTAGACACATCACGGAAATTTCTCCGTGTTACTGATACGATCACTAATCACATCGCGAATCGATTATTCGCGATGCTGCGCGAGTCCCGCGCCCTCGAGGAATCGATCCTCCTCGCGTCAGATAGAAACGTTAGAAACGCGCGCAAGAGCGACTCTTACAGGCTCTCCTCGAGCATCGAGCTTGTCTCTCGCGGACCCACGAAATCTTCTGGACTCATTCCTCCCGATCACATCGCGATGATCCTGTTCTCGTTATCCAGTCGCCGCCGCAACAGTATCCAAGTTGGGATCCAGGCGTCGATAGTCAACGAGGACAGGCTGATCCTTTGCGCGCCCCCGACCCTTCGACGAAGTTCTCTCTGCCCTTCCGTCGACCGTAGGACTAGCACGGTGTTGTTTTTATGACGCGGCGATTCGTAGCGCGGTTCCCCACGGTAGCCGGAAACTCGATCGGGGCGACGACTTCGAGGACGACGACCGCGTGATCGCCGTTAGCGAAGCGCACGTCGTGAACGCCGCGCTCCTACTGAGCTCGGCGCGCGTTCGCGATGGCCAAACCGAAAGCAGACTGGAGTTCCGTTCCGGAGGTGAGGTCTATCCGTTACAGAGAAGTCGGGGAGATGGTGATGACGATGCAGAGGCGGCGGCGGTGGCGATGGCGAGGAGCAGGAGCGGACACCGAAAAGGAAATCCTTTTCGAGCGATGCGCTTCAACCACGTTGTGGAACTTGAATAGAGAGAGAGAGAGAGAGAGAGAGAGAGAGAGAGAGAGAGAGAGAGAGAGAGAGACTGTTGATCGTAAGCATATAAGACAGCTGTCGATCATTGTCAATTGTAAAGACATCTAAACAGATAAGAGTCCAAAGAAAGAGTGAGAAAGATGGATACAGACGTTGGATAATTATATCTTTCAGAGAGACTATCGGTTTGACACTTTTCCAAAGAGTCTCATAATGCAGTCGATTGACATCTAAACGATGCGAGGGCTAATCACGCGGACAGAAATGACGCAGTCTCGCAGACTCGCGAATTATTCGCCGCGCCATCCGATCCGCCCCTGCTGAACAGAGCGAAGGAGCCGAGAGAAGGAAGAGAGAAGAGAGAAAGAGAGAGAGAGAGAGAGAGAGAGAGAGAGAAGGGCCCGAAAGAGCGAGCGAGAACGGCCAAAGCTGGTCCTTCGACGTCGAGGACCGACCCCGACGCGACGCATTTACATATCTTACGTGTAATAACCTCGAAAAAGTTTTAACAATGGCCTGAGGTTCGCCGCGGTCGAGCGAAAGGCGAGAAGGTGTAGAGAAGAGGGCGAAGGCGCGCGGGGTTGAGGGAAACCGTTTAACGAACCGCCTGCGATCCTGCAGGATGACACGAAGGACGTGTCTGAAAGAGTAAACTCTCCGCTCCCGTCAGGAATTTTATAGTCTCCCACTAATTAGCATGTCGGAATTGTTTCCCGATCAGAATCCGCACCTTTCTTCAATCTGGACGATAACATAATTATTAAACGAAGATATATGAAACAGTCGCATTTATATATTTTTAACTTATTGTTCAACTGATAGGCTTATATTAATAATCTTTATTTGAAACCCCCCCTAAAATGAGATTTGAGTTCAGAATCAGATGGAACTTTTCCAACTGAATCGCGATTACAGATATATCAACTATTAATACGGTCCACGAATCGTATTGAAGTCGTTCCATGAAATTTGCTTCATATGAGATACTCAGACTTGAATTTAGAGTTAGATGTAAATTTTCAGTTGAATTGCAATTACAAGTGTAATGTCGCATACACTATGACTTAAATAAGAAACTCAAATCCCAAGTCTAAATTCATATCTGACTATCTCACGCGAGACAAGCTTCAAGTAACGACTATTAGTACGAGCCTTAGACATGTAAGATGGACTCAGCATACGTGTCTTTGGCAGAACGGAGAGACAGGCGAAACATGGAGGAATTTTTCTGTCTTTATCTGCGTAGGTAGAATGCGCAACCGTCTTTTGACAGTCATGACAGAGACTATATAGATTCTCGTTCAAGAACACATACATGATTAAATTACTTCATCATTCGAATGAAAGTCCAGTTTCAGATTAATCCATTGACATTGATGTTTATAATTAAATGAATAATACCTCGAGAAGAGAATATGCGACAAAATTTGTATAAAATGCGCGAGATCCTGTCATACATTTAAATTATTGTCGGTTATTGCCACTTGCCGACGATTATTGTCAATAGCGCGCGCACAGCAAAGTATAGAAACTCACTGACGTTTCGCTCCTCTCTCTGTTCTGTCAAGCCCAACTTGTGTCATAAGGAAGTACATGTTGAGTCTATTTAAATGTCTACATTTCAACTCGACTTCGACGTGGCTTTGGCCGGAAACGCATCGCGCGCGCGCGCGTGTAAATGCAGTTGTTAAAAGCCCGCTCGTTCGCGACTCGTCTCGCTAGCTCGTCGTCGGTGGCTCGTGGAGCAATTTGGCCAAACCGCGGCGGTTGAAGCTTAAGGACGCGGTCCCGAAGAACGGCCAGTGCTACCAGATTGCGCGTCCGCCGGTGCTCGTGTCCCACCACAAAAAAGCGCTGAAAATTGCAACCGCATCGGCCGAAAGGGTTGCATTCGCGACGACGGACGAGGACCAGGCTACCGTAAAAGGAGGAAAGCATTCCAGGGGCCCCGGCATCGGGTTTCGAAGGCACGATATTTATGTTTCCTGCGTGCGTGCGCGCGCGCGCTCACGCTGGGCCCGTCGGCGATCCGTAACAATGTTGCGGTGCGCGCGGCCGCTCTTTCGCTGTTCGCGCGTCCGCGAGTGCCGCGCGCACCCATAAAAACGCGCGTAAAAATTCGTCCGCGTGTATCGCCGCGCAAATCGGCTCGAAAAAAAGAGGGGGGTTCCTCCCCGCGGTGGTTAGAGGACCGACGACCGCAATTGACTCGTGTGTGTTGCACCCACAGCTTCTATATAACTACTAGACTGCTAACTCCCTTATACAGGGTGTTTCCTCTAACTCGACCATTTAAAATATCTCCGTTGTTTTTGATGATATGGGAAAATACTACAGGGAAAACTTGTTCGATTGGAAGGGACACATATTATGACGAGCGAAAAATTTTTCTCGAGGTCATAGTTTTTGAGATTTCGAGTTCATCGCGATTTTTTTAAATGGAATAGCCCATATATTATTACATATTCTTGTAGCTTATCTCGAGAGCTTTCCAAAACACTATAATAAAATATTTTTTCGTTAAGAACTTTTCGAGTAATAACACTTGAAATTTCCAGCACTTTGACATAGAATACAAAATATCTCGTAAAATATTCATCTTTTGGTTATCTTGCCTTAATGCTTTTTTGCGCAGAATAATGAGACAAATTAATTAACTTAAAAAAAAAACAAAAAATTTTTTACATAATAAATATATAAAAATTTTTTTGTGCTTTTTTTTAAGCCAATTAATTTGTCTCATTATTCTGTGCAAAAAAGCATTAAGGCAAGATAACCGAAAAATAAATATTTTACGAGATATTTTGTATTCTATGTCAAAGTACTGGAAATTTCAAGTGTTATTACTTGAAAAGTTCTTAATGAAAAAATATTTTATTATAGTGTTTTGGAAAGCTCTTGAGATAAGCTACAAGAATATGTAATAATATATAGGCTATTCCATTTAAAAAAATCGCGATGAACTCGAAATCTCAAAAACTATGACCTCGAGAAAAATTTTTCGCTCGTCATAATATGTGTCCCTTCCAATCGAACAAGTTTTCCCTGTAGTATTTTCCCATATCATCAAAAACAACGGAGATATTTTAAATGGTCGAGTTAGAGGAAACACCCTGTATAAGGGAGTTAGCAGTCTAGTAGTTATATAGAAGCTGTGGG